TGCCTCCCTTGGGGATTTTGTGAGTGTATCATCTATATAGGCTACTGTCCATGTGAACCAAAGACATTATGGGGTTTTTTCCCCTTTTAGTTTTGAGTGACTATCAGGCCACTGTTCCAACTGTAGTTTCTGGGCAACTGACCTGTTTATCCTATATCTTTCACTATTTTCAAATTTTCAAGATCTGAAAAAAGCCCCATTTGTTCCACTGATGGCATACTAAGAGTTACATTTAATTTCTTCTAGATTAATCTATAGATGCCATGTAGAGCTCTAGATTTAGTATTAAAAGAATTGAATTTCTTCCCTTTGATTCAAACTCAGAAAATTGCACACCTGCCTGAAAACATCAATATCAATATAAAAACAGATTGATGCTTCGTATAATGATTAAAAACATCAATGGAGATGAAACCAAAAGAAAAAGTCTGAAAATGGAATATACGTTGATTTGATTGCTACTTCATTGACAGTGTTTCCAGTGATACCTTTATAATTTTCTTTAGCTCCAATAACCAGATCAGCTTCTTAAACTAGTCCAGCAATATTTAACTTATCAAATAAATTACTCTGAAATTGCCAGTGTCTAGTTCAACTGTTTAAGTACTGCAAACCAAATTCTTAAAGATAAAGCTTTTAAAAAAAGCAAAAACAAACATACTGACCTTTTCTGACATGAAAGAGCCTATCAGTGTAGAATAGAAATAAAAATGCCAAAGAAGTGAAATAGCAAAAATATAAAATGCCCAGCTGAGCTCTGAAACCCTATGATTCTTTCGAACACAACTGGAAAATAGCAACTTAAGACTACTTCTAGCTTTCTCTACAAGTGTGTATTCAATTCATTGTTATTTAGGTCCATCAATTGCTCCTGGTATACAAAGGGCTTTTCTAGGGGACCAAATTGGTATTAGAGAAAGATAACAACAATAGTTAAAGCATTAAAAATAACTTTTTAAAGTTAAGTTTGTACCAAGACAATGAGTATCTTATTGTCTGTCCCCAGTAGACTGAAAATTCCATGAGAGCAGGGATGTGTCTATTTTGTTCTCCATTTGTATATTCAGTACTGAACCCAATGCCCAACACAGGGTAAGTCTTTCAGACATGTCTGTTACATGCTATGAATGAATTGTCAGCTGTCTTGGGAGAGGTAAGTTACATGGAGCACTAAAGATTTTCTGTGGGTAAATCAAATTTCTTTTTAAAAATCCAGAATTGGACATGAATTACCAGAATGTTTCACAATACAGATAGAAATGAGACATGCTATTGCAAAAAGCAAAAATTCTGTTAATGGAATTTGTAAACATTTAGTGCTGAGAGGTCACCATGTGAAAAATATTTCACCAGTGTCACTAAGATTATGCCAATATTTACTGGGGCCATGTCAAAGTCCAGAGCACCTTCTTTATCACCACATGACACATTAAAGAACAGTGTATGTCATTTACTATTCATTCAAAGTAGAATTTAATTATATGAATCAAAGAAGGTTCAACTGGAATGAAAAACCTTTATTAAGCAGTACTCCATGGAATAAGAAATCAATTTGTAATAGTCACACTGCAATTGAACCTTGGTGTTCGTTGGGGTTCTTTTTCCTTTTGGAAGATGAGAAAATGATTCACATATTGCCTAGCCTTATAAGTTGTATATGTTCTCTTTGGATAAATGAATAAATGAAATTTTTAAAATCAGAAACATATTCAGAGTAGTCCACCTCAGAGATACACGGTGCAAGAGCTACAGGTCAGTTTTGTAAGAGCAGTTTTACCCTTTTATATTTTAATTCTGAATTTTCTCTGTGCCTCCCGTCTAGGCTTCCTCCTTGCTTCTGTCACACTTAAGGCTGAACTTTCCAGTAAAGATGGCTTCAGAACAATTTTAAGTCTTATGTAGTGAAATTAGTTTTCTATTTTTCTCTAATAATTTTGCAGTCTAGCTAAAGTACTACATAACACCTGTGGATTCTAGTGTACTTCGGTGCAAACACAAGTGGCTGATTTAATTAAAGCTGTTTAACAAGGGATAATCTATAGTGGCCATTTACATTACATTCACATGTACTTATACATTCCTGTAATGCACTGAATGAAAACTACTTTTTTGCTGAGATGAAAAATTTAAACCTTAAAGGCTAGAAACAAATTATTTCTCAAAATATTCATCAGAGGTGTCTTCATTTGAATATAGGCTCTCACTTTAAATGTTATTGAGTAGTCATGATAGAAAGTATTAACAAAAATAATCCCTGGCTTTTTATAGGGAGATTTTATTAAAGTTAGCTCCTATGCATGAAAAAGAGAAAGATGTTCTTATTAGAGCTATTTTATGTAAACATAGTAAGCTTTTTTGGTGGGGGGAGTTCCATATTATTTCTTACTATTTCTAAAAGGGATTATTTTGTAACCCCTTGGTAGTGATCTTAAAGATCAAAAGAATACAATCTTGTACAAAAATCAGGAATCTTTCATATATGAGGTTATTTAAGCTCCATTTGCATATTTCCAATGACAAAACAAACTCACTTCTCCAAGCTGTTCATCACTTTAGTTAGTATTTAGCCATGGCTACAGTAAAGTTTTTCCATTGAACCAAAATTTCCTGCCAGCCATTTTTCCTTAGGAGCCACACAAAACAACTCTGTAGATTCCCTAACCTAAAATCCTTCCCCTCTATATCCTAATCTCCAGTCCCTCAGAACACCATTAATGATTAATGGAAATTTTCTGTCTTATTTTGACCTTTTGAAACTGTGACAATATCCAACCTTGTAAACTAGTCAATAAATTCCAGGAAGTATGCTAGATTCAGTGGTTCTCAGATATGACAGAGGTTTTCCGGAAGTGGCCTCTGCACTCTCCACTGACCGTTAGCTTTATCAGTCCTACTGTGTTTGTCCTAGTTTCCAAGATAATGTGAGATGTGAACATATGGGCTCGTCTGTGTGATTTTGATGGTATTTGAGTTGGTCCCTTCTTACAAAGTCCTGCTTAAGAACATATTTGTCCTTAATTCTTACTTTTCTCATTTCAGTTTTATACTTCGCGTTAGCCACCTGCAACAGCTTCCTGTCACCAGTAAACCTAACAAATTCTACAGAGAATCTTTTTAAAAAGGAAAAAACAAAAAACAAAAAACAAACAAAAATCTGTCTAGCCTGTATCCAACCATCATCCTTCACTCCAAACCATAAAACAAAAATTTCTACCCTCATTTATATAAAGGCTCTCTCCCACAGAACCCTAACTGTTAGGGAGGCAAGGACATTGTGGGCGTTAAAAGGCATGACAGTAATTGCCATCATCTGAAATGGATTTCCTAATGTTTAAAGCCAGGAAGATATATTACTAAAAGTTAAAACTGCTTGTCTCAGAACAAAAAACTGAGCCATTTATGTACTTCTTACTTTTTTTTTTTTTTTTTTGGAAAGAGCACCGTAAAATGTTAGAAAATTTCTAGACTTATTTGGATAAATGACATATCACAGAAGAACGCTGGCCACCTTCCATGTGTCTATCCCCCTCTGAATATGGTAAAAGTGTTGGACAAATGTGTCTCACAAACAATAGAAAACTCATCTCCTCCTGAACAAACAAGTTCCTCCCAGTCTCCAGGGGACTGAAGAGTAGGTGCTATGATTTTTTTGTTTGTTTGTTCACACTCAAAAAGGTCCTCTGGTCCTTTTGAACCTCAAAATAACCACTTCAGATCAGTCACAGGAATATCTGTTCACATTTAAGAGTCAAAAGTTTGTATATTCATGAAACTATCAGGCCTATGCCAGTCCTGTTCCCTGAGGTGTGAAAGGAAGACATGCACACTTTCCTCTCTTTTTCTCTGCCTGCTTTCCTGTTCCCTTCTTCCCCCTCTCTAGGCTGCCTTTGGTTCCTCAGACATAGGCAAAAGAGAGAGGAGAGGTAAGCAGCAAGAAAAATTAATTCAGCAGGTGCTTAGTGAGCTAGTGGTGTTTCCTCTGGCTACGGATGTTCAATGTTAACATTTTCTCTGTGGCTTCTTTGGAGCTCACTTTCTCATCATCCCCTAGGGATCTCTCACATCCAGCTGGCACCTTAAAACTTTCCTTTGGTCCCCTGGTTTTCAAACTGTCTGCCTCTGCACAGAGGTATCCCACTGTTGGTGGCCCACTGCCCTCTAGGTGGTCCTTTGTTGGGGTGGGGGGCGGTGCATTTTAGACAACTCCAGGTCAGCTTGCTCTCCTGCTTGATCTACATCAGATCCACCAGTCACAGCAAAGCTTCCTGCTCACAGCCTTCTCCTTTGTTGTCCCAGGTCAGTGAATCAGACCCCTAACCCTTTAGATTCTCTAGTCTGAGTCAGACACCTGATCACTGTACCCCAAACTCTAAGGGACATCTATCAAGATCTCTAAGTGTTTTCCTTGAAGCTCCTTTCACTACACTTGAACCTTTTCCAAAAAAAAAGGATTTTGCATACTTTTCATCTTCTTCCCCAGCTGAGTTCCCAGCTTTCCCTTATAGAGTCTGGAGGTGGGCCACGGAGCAACTCACAAGCTCTCTCTAAGACCCTGCTTTAGTAGGAGCTAGCGCTTCACTTTGGAAGGCAGACACACTCTCTATTTTTTATTCTTGTTTCTTTCAAGACCCTAGGTGAAACCAAGATAAAGAGAGGAGGCACAAAATATCCCATTTTAGAATTATTATAAAGATAGGACCTGAAAGAATGATTGCCGTATCAGTAGGTTCTGACTCGCTGGTTGGAATAGATCAGTCAACTTAATTTCTTTCAGTGTTAGTTCACTTTTTTCCCCCATTGTCCATTAAAATGTATAGCATGCCAAAAATTATGATCCATTTTTATAAAACAGCTGGAAAGGCACCAAAAACTGGAATTGCATATAGAAAATGCTAGTTTCACCACAGATAAGTCATGTGAATGACCCCTTTATATATGCATTTAATGCCACATTCATGAAAATGGAATAGATACAAAACTTTCTTTTTTTTGATTTCTAGGTCGAGATTATGAAAAGGATAAGGTCTGCAAGGAACTTGCTAGTCTTGGAAAAGATGACTTCACATCTTTGTAAGTATGAAGTAGTCACTCGCTCTCTTGGTTACTTGACCTTAAATGAAATTGCATGTAGGGTAACTTCAATTCAGCACAAAGGGCTGAACTGGCTTCTGCTAAGATTAGCAAGGTAGAGCCCGTTGTTAATGTAGGCAGAGAAGCCAGACAAATGGGGGACAGCCAAAGGTTCCAGCTGAACTATCATTACTATGGTCTAAGAATTTGTTCCTAGTATGTTTATCAATGAGTTAAAGGAGTTAAGTAAGCAAAGTTTTCTAAGGTAAATTAAAATGCAAATAGTCCATGCTAGGACTGGCAAAGGCAACAAGGCACAGAACAGGTTCATCTGGGGAGGCTCAAGAGAGGGGGAAAAAAAAAACACGTGGCTGGTTTAAAGGAACCCATAAGTCCAACTTCTATTGCTTTACAAGATCAATTTACCTAGAACAGAAATCCAAATACCTCATATTCTTATTAGTCCAAAAATATGTACAACAGTCCTTTAAAAACACTGAACAGATTTTATATTTTAACCTGTGCAAATGTGGAAAAATTCTAATTAATATATTGACTTTATTTTTGCCCTCAGAGCAATGGTCCTGTACAGCAGAAAATTTCCCAGTGGAACATTTGAACAGATCAGCCTTCTTGTGAAGGAAGTGGTCTCCCTGACCGAAGCCTGCTGTGCTGAAGGGGCCGACCCTGGCTGCTATGACAACAGGGTAGGTCCACATGGCCTGGCCATGTGTGTGGTGGCCCACCGAAGGAAGCCAAGATAGGCCTTTATGCCATATCTTAGGGAAATCCTGGACAGCAATTCCACACACTCCATTTGGGGGGAGATATAAAGAATATAACCCAGACTTATTCTAGCATAATCAGTGAATTTTGCCTACTAGTTCTACAGGTTCAAGTGAGAAAGGTAGGGCATATACTGACTCAGGGAATAATTCTAACACATTCTGTTTACCTTAAAAGTCTACAGATGACTTTATCATGCCAAGCCTGGTATTTACGGACCCAGAGCAATTTGGTGTTGGTCTCAAATTAATTTGCTGTTTAGAAGTAGGCTGTATACATAAACTACCAGGCTTTGGTTTTTCTCCCCTGAAGTATATATGCAGAAATTAAAATGCTGAAATGACAGGATTCAAAATACAAACAGTAGCTGAAAAAAAGATGAAACCACATAGGTTCCTAGCAGTTTACTAATGTAGTCATCAGGCCCACTGCAAAAGGCATTGAGATGCATCTTGATAAGCACCTCCACAGACAAATGTCTCCCAGCTCAGGCCTGAGGCAGTTAGCCTGCAGAACAATGCTCCAAAGATCTCATTAGACTATAATTTAAACTATGATGAATTTCACTGTTAATTGCTTTATCTGCTCCTTATCTGCTTTTTAAGAATTTTATAATCTTTTTCTCCCATTACTAAGCCCATAAAAAACCATCATTTCAACCTGACCTTCTGAACCACCTTAAAATAAACAAGCATCAAACTACCAACTGTGATCAGAACAACATATTTTTATTTTCTGTGTTTGCTAACGCATGTCTTTTTCTAAAAGATTTTACTCATTCTCAGAGAGAGGGAAAGGAAAGAGAGAGAGAGGGAGGGAAACATCAACGTGTCAAAGGAACATTGATCTGTTGCCTCTCACACACTCCCAAATGCGGCAACGCACCTGCAACCCAGGCATGCGCCCTGACAGAGAATCGAACCAGCAACCTTTCGGTTCGCTGGACCATGCTCAGTCCACTGAGCCATATCAGTCGTGGCTGCTAACTCATATCTTACTTAGAGAGAAGCTGCAGGTTTGTAGAGACAGGTAATAAGAACAGAGCTGGCACTGACATTTTTTGCTCACCACCTTCCTCTTTTTCCTACTTACTCAAAACAGTTAAAATAACTTGTTTTGATGTTTTTTCTTTGTAAATTTCTTACTTGAAAGGAGGTAATAAAAAAAAAAACAGGAAACTTGATAGGGGAAAAAATAGAATGTAAGAGGAGATTCACTGAAAAGAGAGAAGGATAAAAAGGATAATTCCTAAGTTCTGAGGGTCTGATGGAGAGTAGATGTGGGAGAGGATGAGAGATCGTTCCTTTTACATAACTAATTCATCATGTTGCTTATTTTCCTTGTGGGAAAGAGCTTTAAAAATTTCCCTTGAAAAGATGACTAACATGTAAAACAAGTATCAGTATTTCAAAGTACTTTTCCCCATGTAAATCCCCAAATAATTTTATCCATGATGACTTTCTATTCTACATTTTCATTTCAAATTCTTTCCAAAATGAACATTTTGTTGCTACAGTTGCTTTGGTGGTTTTCTTACCATGGGTTTAGTCTGGCCGCCTATATCAGTGTTATCAGTGCTAAGGCAGTGGATGAAGTTGTATGAGTGGTTTTCAACCCATGCTACACATGAGAATAAGCTTTGGGGGAAAAATAGATCCTAAGGTCTCATCTTCGACCTACTGTTTCAGAATTTGTGTTGTGCGGCCCAGGCATTTATTTATTTTTATATATTCTATGAGAGATTTTAATGCAAATGCAGACTAAAGAACCATTGGTTAAAAGAATGCAAATTAATATAGAAAACCAAAGTAGTTAACAATTAAGAGTCTGCTCAGGTAATAAAGAGAGGGGAGGAGGGCAAGGGAGGTCTTCATTCTCTTCGGGGTATTTGCAGCAGAAAGCAGATGGGAGATTATATTGGAGCTTTTTGAAATGACCTCCCTTATCCTCAGATGTTAATATCCCTGTGCAAAGACACTGGACTAGAGGATAAAGCTTTTAATGGCTGCAGTCAAACACGGTCCATTTATTAATGAAGGTTCTATTGTTGTCCTACTCTGAGTAAGGTCATTAATTAACACAAATAAGACCCTTTACTTGCCTGTAACTATGATTATCAACTTGCCACATCGACAAATCATCTCATGGAGACTTGGGCATGGATAGTTTATTATTAATGAGAATTTTAAAAGTTAACACTAAAGATGTTACACTGAATGGAGAACTACAAGCCTGGAAACGTCTCTATGTGTGTATGCTTATATATGCATATAGAAATAGAGAGAGGTTACTTGTTTTTCTTCTCTCTTTCTAGACGTCAGAATTGTCGGCTAAGTCCTGTGAAAGTGACTCCCCGTTCCCAGTGCACTCTGGAACCGCCGAGTGCTGCACCAAAGAGGGCCTCGAAAAGAAGCTCTGTATGGCTGCCCTGAAGCACCAGCCGCAAGAGTTTCCTACCTACGTAGAGCCAAGTAATGATGAAATCTGTGAGGCATTCAGGAAAGATCCCAAGGAATTTGCTGACCAGTAAGCTGCTTTCATCAGAAGTGGAACTTTAAAGCATAAAATATCAGAAGTGTATCTAATTAACCCCCTACTCTAGACAAACACCTCTTCTACAGCAACCTGGACAACTTCCAATAGTGAGAACTTGACTTCCATCTAAGGTAGCCCATCTCTGTCACTGTCGACTATTGTAAATGCCCTTCTCAGAGAGAGATAAAAACCATCTTTCCCAGACTCCCGTCCAATTCGTCCTAGCTGGCATTTGAAACAGAATTATTTGGATCCCCTATCCTCATAACAGATTTTCAAACATTTTACAGCAGCTACTGAGATTCCCCTTAAGCTGGTGATTTTTGCATCCTCCATCTCATAGAATGTTATTGCTATGCATATGTTTAATACTTAATTTCCACTAAAGTACAAGAAATAAACAGCTTTTTTTCTTGACATTCCAAGAAGTAGTTATGAATAAGACACGTTGCCCTACATATGTGAATATATTACATTCATAAGAGGCCAGAATATATATAGATTCTTTAAATTAGTCTTGGAAGATCATAAAAATAAACAAATGTAGGGAAAATCAATTAATGAAAAATATATATACAAAAAATCAAAATGGACATATATACAAAAAATTAAAAACAATGACACTCAAATGGACTTTTAAAGTATAAAATCGAGGTCACAATTTTATAAAAATTGGTTGGCTCACCTATTCCTATGAACTTTCAGAGATTTTGCCCAAGATTTTAGAATCTCTTTTAGGTCTGTAGAGGCTTATGCTCCTGAAAATTAAAAAATTTCAATAAATAAATAAACCTACACATAGCAATTGTCCAGAATAGTAAACGAGAGATAGATTATAAAAAGTAAATCCATAATTACATTCATTCATTCAAACCAATTCAATTAGCATTAATAAGCATCTACCACGGGCCATGCACCTGCAGACACTAAGTGAATAAAGGAACAAATGGCCTCCCCTCTCAAGCAATCTACATGGAAATTTAGAAAAGAAACTATATTTAATAAAAATATTGATTGAAAGTGACTGGTGTTACAACCCTTTCTGTTAATCCTTACTGCTTTTTAGATATTAAAATTGTAAACTAACCTCACATGTATCCTCTATCAAAATACTTACAAAAAAGTAGATTTTTGTTTCCCACAATGTTTTGACTACTGCTTTCATCCCCACCCCCCACAGATTTATGTATGAATATTCCACTAATTATGGACAAGCTCCTCTGCCGCTTTTAGTCAGTTACACCAAGAGCTACCTTTCTATGGTAGGGTCCTGCTGTACCTCCTCAAATCCCACCACGTGTTTTTTGAAAGAGGTAGGTGTCATTTATTAAATAGTCATGTTCTTTTTTTTTTCCCTTCTATCAATGCTATTCCTTTGTTTAAATAGTAGAAGCTTAGATTCTAAAATCAATAAAAGCTCCTTTTTTTGCATTTTTTTATTTGGAAAAACAAACATACCACCACCACCCCACCCCCAGAAAGAAATATCAATGTTTCTTTGGTCAGAATTCAGTTGTGTAGTTATCAAAAAAAAAAAAAAAAGTCATGATACCAGTAGTCTCTTTATTCCTTCCTGCACACTCCTTTCAATGGATCTTAACTGTCTAATGAGATTCTCACATTTATTTTCTAGAGACTCCAGCTTAAACATTTATCACTTCTTACTGCTATGTCAAATAGAATCTGTTCACAATATGCTGCTTATGGGAAGGAGAAATCAAGGCTCAGGTAAGGATTAAGCACCACCAGTATGTTTAGCTGTTTGATTCTGCACTATCTATCCACAATATTAGGATTTTCTAAGAAAGTGTTTTTGTTAGAAGATATAAACTCTGTTATGTGCCAATAATCTTCAAAAGTATGACCCAGCTTTTTTCTACGAAGACTATAAACAATGAGAAATAAGGCTATGTTGTAAAACATGAGTTTTGCTCTTGACTCTTTCCATATACTCATATGGGAGAACAGAGAGCACTATAAATTATTTCCTCAAAATTCATATTAGCATATATTATAAATAAAAAAGCAAAACAATTTTAGTCACCTATTATTTGCTTTGCCCATTTTTGTCTTCTGATGAGAATTCTTTGATTCTTGTTATGTGAGGTTTTATGCTATATAATATATATATCTCTCTTAAGCTTTGTGAATTTACACTAATTACTTAGCTACTTTACCTGTAAATTTCACTTATTTTTGTATGGCTGCTGTTAACTCCATATTTTTTAATTCTGTCATTTTCTATGTTTATACTTCTCTCAGACATCTAGTTTACCTTTTCAGCATTTACACACTCTTTATTTCCTTCCACTCTGATCCAAACTTTTTTCCTTTAATGGAAGTAAGAGAATTTATTTTGTGTTGACACCAGATCCTAAGCTTCCCTAATGGGAACAGAAACTACTTTCATTAGTCCTTTAAAAGTAATTTTTCGTTAGAACCACTCAAATAGTAAATGGCATTTTCTCAAGGTCTTCACTTTAGTTTTCCTTTTGCATTAAGCTTCTGTAGTTGGCAAGTAGAGCTTAGAAATTTATAATATAAAACCGCCTATAAGACATATCTATCATAATCATTAATTTATACCAGCATTAGTGTCTAGGAAATTACCCAGAATAAGTAGCTTTGAATGTGAACAAAGATTTAGCTACAAATATTGCTATCCTTTTTTAATGTGAAAAAATAGAGATTTTCTAAAAGTCCCTAGAATAGAGAACATACTTAAATCAGTCATGGAATATCCATCTGAGAGAAGGCCAAACAGTTTGTTATATTATAAAAGAATATTAATGAAAACTACAAAACACAACTAAAAGAAATTGAAGGAGATACAAAATAAATAGGAAGATGTTCTACCCTCATGGATTAGAGGATTAGAAGAATTAATATTGGTTGTTTTTTTTTCTATGCACTTTCTTTTCCTGCATTGGAAATTTAGAATTAATATTGTTTTAAAATGTTCATACTATCCAAAGCAATCTACAGAGTCAATGCAATTCTTATTACTATCTTAACAGCATTTTTATTTGCAGAAATAGAAAAAAAGTCATCCTAAATTCAATGGAATCTCAAGGGATTCCATATAGCCAAAACGATCTTGAAAAAGGAGGACTAAGTTGGAGGCCTCATACTTTGATTTCAAAGCATACTACAAAGCAACAATAATCAAGATACAGTAGTAGTAGCATAAAAAGATATAGACCAATGTAACAGAATTGAGAGCTCAGAAATAAACCCTTATATATTTAAACAAATGGTTTTTGACAAGGGAGCCAAGGTTACCCAAGGAGGAGTGGGGCAGGAAGGACAGCTTCTTCAACAAATAGTTCTGGGAAAATTGGATAGCCACTTGCAAAAGAAGTTGAATCCTTACCTTACACCATATATTAAAATTTTCTTGAAATGGATTAAAGACCTAAACATAAGACCTAAAACTATAAAACTCCTAGAAAAATAGAGGAAAACTTTAGGATGTTGGACTTGGCAATGATTTCTTGGAATTAATCCCAAAGCACAGGCAACAGAAGCAAAAATAGACAAATGATATCACATCAAACTTAAACTTGTGAGCACTAAAGGAAACAACAGGATGAAAAGACAACCTATATATAGAGTGGGAGAAAATATTTGCAAATCATATATCTAATAAGGGTTTAATAACCAGTATGCATGCAGAACTGCTACAATTCAACAAAATACGGAATAACCTGATTAAAAAGAATTGAAAATAGAGAATTCTCCAATGGAGATATAAAAATGGCCAACTAGCATATGAAAGGATGTTCAACTAATCATAGGAGCATAGCATAGCACTAATCATAGGAGAAACACAAAATCAAAGCCATAATGCCACTTTGGGCCCATTAGGATTGCCACTACCAAGAAAAAAAAAAAAAAAAAGGAACAAGTGTCATGAGAATGTGGAGAAATTGGAATCCTTGTGCTCTGTTGGTAGCAATGCAAAATAGTGCAGTCATTATAGAAACCAATGCAGTTTCCTCAAAAAATTAATAGAATTACTATATGATCCAGCAATCCCATTTCTGCATACAGGGTGAGACAAAAGTAGGTTTATAGTTGTTCATATGGAAAAATAATACAATAATAAATAATATAAGAATAAATTCTGTTTCATGTACTCATGACTGTAAACCTACTTTTTCCTCACTCTGTATACATTTCTAGGAATTCAAAGTAGGATCTCAAGAGATATATGCACATCCATGTTCATTGCAGCATTATTCAGAATTTCCAAGAGGCAAAAGCAACCCAATGTGCAATGGCAGATGAGTGAATAAAGAATGTAGTATATACTTTAGAAAATCCTACCACATGCTACAACATGGATAAACCTTGAGGACAATGTGAAGCAAAGTAAGCAGTCACAAAAGAACAAATACTGTATGATTCCAGTCATGGAGTACATAAAGTAGCCAAAATCATAAAAACATAAAAATACGGTTGGCAATCAAATGTTTAATGGGCATAGAGTTCTGGTTTTACAAAACAAAAAATTCTAGAGATCTGTTACAACAATGTCAACTTATTTAACATTACTGAACTATATACTTAAAAGTGGTTAAAGTAGTAAATGTCATGTTATGTGTTTTTTACCACAATGAAGAAGAAAATTTAATGATATGGAGCACAGCATTTCTGATACATAACTGAAAAGATAAATTTATCAATAATATAGCATAATTCCTTATAAAGTACTTACTACCCTGTAAACCTTATAAAATACTTAAAGGTTTCACACCAAAACATCAACATCTGTTAACTCTGTGGTTTAGGGCTATAAGTCTTCATTACTTATTTTATTTATACTATAGTTTATAAACAAATTTATAAAAATATTCAAGAAGACTGTGAGGGGCCCCCAAAACACCACATTCACCTTATGAACAGGGAAATGTTAGTGCTTTCCAGATTGCCATTTTAGATGTAACGTTTGAAAGCCATCCTGTAACTACATAGACTTGGCCAGAAGAGAAGCTGCATGTAAGTACTGAAAATATGCAAAGCTTCCCTGGGGAAGCCTGATCGTTGCCAACCCATCGCAGAGCAGATGTGCTCATGCCGCTGTTCAAGGCAGAGTCAAAACCGTGGTATTATTTCTCCAGTGTTTATTTTCATAATGAAATCAGGGAAACTGAGATTTGGAGTAAGCTAACAAGTTCTTTTTTAACTATTTAGCCAGCTCATAAAATTAGCCCAAAAAGCACCTACTGCTGATCTGGAGGATGTTTTGTCACTAGCTGAAGATGTCACCACAATCCTCTCCAAGTGCTGTGAGTCTACCTCTGAGGACTGCATGGCCAAGGAGGTAAGAGAATCTCCACCATCGTCATCTGCCACACACTGAGTGGCAAGCACTCTTCTGAGTTACTTTTTATGTGCATCATGTGATTGATCCTCACGTGTATTCTGTGAAACCTAAATACACTAACTCTGTTTTGCAGATGAGGAAACAGAATATTAGCAAAGATTAATAAAGTCACACAACTAGTAAGTTGCAAAGTCCTCACACTAAAAAAAAAGGTTATCTGATTCCCGAGAACTTAGTGTACCTGCAGAACCCAGCACAGCATCCACTAGCCATATAGGGCTATTTAAGTTAATTATAATTAAACTTAAATAAAAGTTAAACTTTAGTTCTTCAGTCACACTAGCCCCATTTCAAACGCTCACTAGTACCAGACAGTACAGATACAGATAATTTTCATCATCACATAGTAAAGTTCTGTTAGATAACACTGCAACAATTATACTATTAGAAGTTACAATTTTTCTTATATTGAATACCTGTCATAATTTGATCATTTCAGTTTTTTTCCTCCATTTTTCATTACACAATACTTTCAAGTAGATATGAATTTGAACAGTTACTTTTGATAAATGTCACTCTCCACATCTGTGGTCCTCTTTAGTAACTAACACTGTGGTGCCTGGTCTTTTTCCATTAAGAATACATGTCTGTGTTAATAGGTGTTTTTCTATAACCTGACTTACAATGGCTAATAGGTTGCTCTCTCACTCTCTCACTCTCTTGCCCTCTCCAGACAGACAGACAGGCAGATAGATAGAATGTACCATGTCGACCTTCTAGTTATACCTTAATTTTATTTAACCAGTCCTCTATTATTGGGTTGAAGTGTTTCAGTTTTTGTATTTTAAGTAATGCTGTCCCTTTATAGGCTTATAGCTAATTTATGAGGATATATTTTTGAAACTCAAATTGTATGTTTTTAAGGCTTTCAGTACATAGTGACAAACAGTCTTCCAAAAATATTCTACTGATTTATTTTCTAAGAGCATTCCCACTGACTTTTATATATATACATATATTCCATGCCAGGGTTGGTAAGCTTATGTAAACCTTTTTAGTTGGACCTATACGAAAACTAACAATGCATAAAATCACCATTACTTTTGTAGCTGCCTGAACACACAGTAAAATTCTGTGACCACTTATCCACAAAGAATACTAAGTTTGAGGACTGTTGTCAAGAAAAAACACCCATGAACATTTTTATGTGTGCTTACTTCACGCCAGCCGCTCAACCACCAGAGCTGCCAGAAGTTGAGTTGCCCACCAGTAAGGATGTGTGTGGCAAAGGAAACACCAAAGCCATAGATAAGTAAGTAGAGCTAATCTACAATGTTCTTGACAGTGCTGATGTTCATGAGTATTAAATGACAAAGAAACTAGATGAGGGAGAAATGGTAAACTTGTACCTGACTTCTCTGAGAATTAAGATAAATGCTCGATGAATTGCACCCATTACGAATAGTATACACATATTCATGGCATGAAATTATTTCACAAGTAGGTTGAATTAACAGGTCAGAAAATCATTTATCAATATCAGAGAGAAGAATTTAGACTGCACTGACACTCTATTTGTCTAAATACTCATTGTTTTTATAAATGCATAGATAGCAATGAGCTAAGATAAAGAATTTACACAAATCTATTTTCACAGAAAAGCCAATTAAAATACCTACTTGATGCTTTATATAGAATTAATTTGTAAAAGTTACAAAGGACAGTTCCATATGCATTTGAAGTAGATATGTGTATATTATATAGTATGTGACTATGTGTATATGAGGGGGAACCCCCCCAAAAAAGCACCTTGCAGTACAAGCTTCCCTTGCTAGGTGAAGTGTTCTAGGAACCCATCTGTGTACCAGCTGGTGTTATTATGAGAGGCTGCATTTGGCTTTAGTGATTTTTTTTCTTTTTAAGACTCTTCCAACACATTTGCCCATTTCATGATGGGTGATAAACAAACACACCTGCCCACACTGTGCTAAGCGTTCATCAGTGTTTGACCAAAAATGGCGTGACCTCTATGTCCCATTCTCCTTATTCACCCAATCCCACCCTGAGTGAATTTCTCATTTCCCTGGTTGGAAAATGTCCTCAAAGGGAAATGTTTTCTTGATGTGGAAGAGGTAAAATTTTTAAAAAATGGCAGAAGCACTAAGAGGCATAAAAATCAAGTTCAAAAACTATTTTGAGCAGTGGAAAAAAGTCTTGATAGTTGTATTGAATCAAATGGATAGTGCTTTGAAGGTGACTGACGTTTAAATATGTACGAATAAACACACAATTTTTTATAAATAAATTCAGGATTTTTGTGGGTCCCCTTGTATAGTACATACAGATCTTTAGTTCAGTATTAACTACTGAACTATTCTTTAGTTCAGTAATAACTTCAAAGCAACTATTAACTTGCATTTCAATAATTATATTGTTTCTCATTCTAAACCTGTTGATTTGGATTCAGTTTTAGCTAAATCTTTTATTTCTAATTAAAGATGCAGAAACCAGGTGCCCCACTTGTTACAGATGTCAAATTTCAAAACATGACACATACACACAAGTATACACATGAATGTTAAAGTGCACCATCGTTTTCTCTCTCATGCCAGGTATACATTTGAACTAAGTAGGAGGACTCATGTTCCAGAAGTATTTCTTAGTAAAATACTTGCACAAACCCTGAAAAGCCTTCAGGAATGCTGTGACTCTGAAGATTCTACTGCCTGTTTTAATGCTAAGGTACAATTTGCTTGATTGCTTCGTCAACCTTGGTCTAGATCAAGGGCTGACAACGGTAGCTTATGGACCACATCTGGAGTGGTGCTTATTTTCACATGGCCTTATTTTCACATGAGCTGAAATGGTCTTACATTTTTAAGTGGCCTTTAACAAAAAGATTAGCATTTCATGAAATCTTATATGAAATTCAAGTTTCAGTGTTCATACATAAACTGAGCTCACTGTTTATGCATTATTTATGGTTGGTTCTGTGCCAAAATGGCAAGAGTTGAGTAGTTACAACCGAAACTATGTATGGCCTACAAAGCCTAAAATATTTACTATCTGGTCTTATAAAGAAAATATTTGCCAATGTCTGGTATAGATTAAATACTCATGCTAACATGTTACATGGAATTGAATGCCTCCTTGAGCAGGGTTAAGATGAATATATTTCATGTAATTATTATTTTCTTACAGACCCCTGGACTGAAGAAGGAACTATCTTCTTTCATTGACAAGGGACAAGAACTATGTGCAGATTATTCAGAAAACACATTTACTGAATACAAGAAAAAGTAAGGGACTTGTTCTAGCTGTGTCCTCCAAATTTATTAATATTAGCCTGAAACTGTGATCTGAAAGTGTAGTTGAAGACTTAGATGTGCTAAGTGAACAACAAAAATAAGAGATTCAATTAAAAAAGTTTTTTAAAAAGTAGTTAAAATCTATTATCTGTGTTAGAAACAGTTCTTCTCTGCTTGAAAAGTCACGTACATCACATGAGATGTCAATTTGAACACAGCCAAAAATATACAAATTACAAGATCTGCAGGGACTTGATTAAAAAAACACCATTAGTCTGTAGTTTATGAACAGTTTTGCCCAAAAGCAATCTGTAAATATTGCTATATACTATAATTAAGAAACTATAAAACTGCTGGAAAAATGTTATCTAACTTAAGAGCATATTGCCTGACAAAAGGACCTAAATTTCCAATTAAGTATAGCACCATCACCAATATGTATTGTCTATGAATTGGACATGCAAGTGTTAATTGATCATCCATAATATTGTACAAGAGTCATTTTTCTCAATTAAGAGAAGATAGCACTCTTTTACAAATAGGTGTTAATGTTAAAATAAGGAGCCATAATAGTGAAAGTAGATTTACTGGGTTCCTGGAAAAGATCTCTGTTGAGAAGACCATGTCCTTCTCACCTTCCTTAAGTAGATTTCTTAGCTTTATTTCAAATCATCTTGAAATAAAGGCCCCCAGCACAAATAAAACTCCACAAAAAGACTTTCCTAAAGAATCTCGTAAGTTGGACACCTCCATCAATGACCACCATGAAAAATCAACCTTAGCAAAATTGTGAAAGCCTTAGGCTCAAAATTGTTTAACAGTTCTCAGAAAATGATGTGATTAACAGAATAGTATGGAGGTAGTATACCATAATGTTAAACAGAAAATGCAAGATTAAGTTATCTTCCAACAGTTTGGAACTCCAGGATTGCATGGGGCAATTGAGTAATAATTTATATAATCTCTATTCCAGATGAACATGTAGAATTGACATTTAAGATTATGAGATTAGGGAAGACTGAGGTTATCCAGTCTAGGTATTCGAAAGCCCACCCCCTCCTTTCTTCTCCCATCCTCTGAGCTCCTTCTGGTCTCACTTGCTTCTCCTTCCAGCTGGAACCAATGCACTTCAATAATGCTTAGGAGCATTATTGATGATTATTAATGATTAGGAGCAAGCTAATCCCCCTGACCCTCTTATCCCTTCCCAGCATCCACTTGCCAGCCCTGACTCTTGATAAATTTGGGTCTCTTCCACCTCCTACTGCCTACCACTGGGCTGGTAAGTATTCTTGGAGAAAGTCATAAAACCAGACCAAGCTGTCCACCATGATGGGGGAGAATTACCAAGATTATAGACAGTTTAAACTGGGAAAGAATCAAAAGAATTCAAATCCTAGCACCACCTTGACAGAAAGATGGAGAGTTGGTTAATAGTAGAGCTAAAAAACAAGAGCCAAAGGTCCCTGGTCTTGTTTCAGCATTTTCCAGCCTAGCTGAGTCCGCAAACTGAGGGGAAAATTGTACAAATGGCTTAAATTTCTATAAGGGAAATATCCTTTAAGGAGCTTGATGTTTAAAACTGGAGAGAATATGAAAGGTAAGAAAAATAGAAAAGGAAGTTATCTAAAATGATATAACTGAGCGAATGAAAGGGGAAAGGCTAGAATTCAAATTCAGCAGCAATGTGTATGTTTCATAATCTTAAAAGAGGTATAGATTTCACTTTCTATTCTCAAACTGAGTCACTAAAAAGTTACCCAGATATAAAAAATTATCTTGAGAGGAGCAAGTGTTTCTATTTTCCTTTTTTGTTGTAACCAGTCTGAAATGGCTATCTTTTGCCTTAGAAATATTTATACAATAGGATACATCTGGTAAAACCTTACAAAAAAAAAAATGGTCTTTCAGACTGGCAGAGAGGTTAAGAACACAATTGCCTGATGCCACAGCCACAGAACTAGAAGGGCTGGTTGACAAACGCTCAGACTTTGCCTCCAAGTGCTGTTCCATAAACTCACCTCCTCTCTACTGTGACTCTGAGGTAAGAAAATTTGATAATCCACATATCACTGCATAGTATTTGTAAAGACTTAGGCACTCAGATTTACCCATTTTTTCCCCTTGTTGGATTTAGTCTTTATTTATTTTTTATTGTTCAAATACATTTGTCTCCATTTTCCCGCCCCCACTTTCCCCTGTCCCACCCACCCCCACCTCCATCCCTCAATCCTTCCCCACTTTGGCTTTGTCCATGGGCCCTTTATACATGTTCCTTGATTTGACCCTTCCCTTTCCTTTCTCCACCCACCCCCTTCTTCTTCTCTCTCGTTACCATCAGTTTCTTCTTTCTTTCAATGTTGCTGGTTATATTTTCCTTGCTTGTCTGTTTTGTTGATTAGGTTCCACTTATAGGAGAGATCATATGGTATTTGTCCTTCACCCCCTGGCTTATTTCACTTAGCATAATGCTCTCCAGTTCCATCCATGCTGTCATGAAGGGTAGCAGCTCTTTCTTTTTCTGCTATGTAGTATTCCATTGCGTAAATGTACTGTAGTTTTCTGATCCACTCATTTACCAATTTTTTTTTGTTATTGAAATACATTGTCTTTTCCTGGTGCTATGATAACTTCATTGTCTTTATAATGAAAGTGAGAAATAACTTTTTATGCTATGCTAGCTAATTTAAAAGTAAATCGAGGTAGCTGTAAAACTTAGGAGGAAATTTTACACTTTCAAATTAAAAAAGGTGAATACAGGCAGCAAAGTATAGTGCAGTGTTTTTTAGGTTGTAGGTTGTACCTATTTATAGCTTTTTTTAATGAAAGAAAAAAGACAAATATTAGTCCATCTAACAGAGTGTGGTTAACCATTTCATGAAAACTTTATTTCATATACTCATATATGTATATGCATAGAGTTATTAGGTAGATTGATAAAAAAAAAGATACTTTTTTTAAAAATGGATTATACCATACCTTCTCTTAATTATAAAAATTATTTAATTTGTGTTTTAATATAATGTGAGAAAAAGAAATACAACTTAATTATCAAAGGTCACACACATTTCTTTACCATAAGAGTTATTTTCTAAAAATTAAAAAATATATTAATATTAAAATGTTGGAGTCATTTTTAATTACAAGTTTTTCTCTTAGATACCATCAATTGGTTTCCAACTGAGAAAGATAAAGAAATTTCAGCTCATATTTTCTCATTTCTTTCCCCACTCCTCCTAATTTGTTAGTTTTTGGGGTCATCTTTAAATACGTTTTCCACCCCAGCCCTTAGATCCCTCTATTCCCATCTCCCTCCTCACCCACTCACCCTCTGTATTCCCCTTTCTCCCTTAAATGTAGTTGCATAGTTGCCAGATCATTTATTTTTTTCTACCTTGTTAAATTCCAGCCAGACCTTTATTTTCTCTGATAGTAGGTAAATTATTGTATCCCTTTCACCGCATCTGAGCCTATTAGTTTTCTCCTATAAAACTAATGCGAGGCTGGTACTTGGCGTTCTGTCTTTGTGTAGACAGAAGGAGGGAGGAGAGCCCAGGCTAGGCTGTGTGGCTCCATTGTTAGTAGACCTGATCTGTGCTTTCTCTAACATTTTGTTGCATATCTTACAATAGGTCTTCCTCCACCAGGTCAGTTTCTATCCTTTCCATGGGCAGATGTTTGTTAGCCTTTTTCATATACATTCAGTCCATTTAGTCGCATCATCCATTTGACCAGTAACTCTTTTAGCAGTCACTTCAATTGTTTAGAAGAGTCCAACGTAAGGGCAACAATTTCACTATTCTGCTAACTTGGAGACATGACAATTCCATGAATTCTGTTGCCTCACCCATTCTATTTCTGGAGAGTAGATGTAGGGTTAAGACCAACTCTATGCCACATCAAAATATTCTCTTCCTTTGCCTACCTCTTTCTGAAGTTCATGATACTAAGTTGCATCCCTCTTCCACTCTGGCCATGACTGAGATTTTTTTGAGTGGGGTTTATGATTGTTGGTCATGTGTTTGAGAACAAGCATTTATGATACATTTTGACTCATTTTTTGCACATAAAATAATGTACCTATAATGTAAAAATAAATACCTAATGATATAATGCCAATTAGAAATTTTCACTATGTTAAAGAATGTCACCCCCCAAGAAGTTACATGAATTTTTATTCATTTATTAAAACATGAAAGCAGCAAAGCCCTGTTTCATTTTATTGTTCTATTATTTTATTCCATTTCAATTATTTATTGTTCTATTAGAGCACATTGAAATTATCCAAGAACCTAATTTTTAAAAATCACAAGAAGTTTAAATGGGGGAAGAAGACTATAAAGAACATTTAGTATAATTTTTCACTCAGTAATTCCTTTCAGAGATCATACAGCCTCCACTTAAATTCCTATACTCAATTTTCTTCTACAGGTAGCCTATTTTGCTGCCAAATAGCTTCACTTATGAGAATATTTTTTTTGAAAATTAAGCCATGATACCCCCATCATAATTTCTGCTGAGTCTAGTCTGGCTTTCTCTATCAACCAGAAAAATTCTATTCTCTTTCTCTGTTCCCAGTAGCAACTTTTTTATACTTAACATGACTTTAAAAAATAACTATATAAGTTATTTTTTAAAGCCTTGAGATATGCCTACCAATTCTCTTAATATTTTAGTGAGGTTTTATTTGTTTTGTTTTTTAATAGATAATGACTAACAAAATCTTAATCAGTTTGACAAATTGAGCTATATCATCTTGTTCATTTTTCTTTATAACCTTAGAGATTCTGATTCCTTCCAATTTCTATGTTTGTTCTCTAATTCCAAACTTAACTGCTAATCTTCTTTGTGACAATTTATAAAGTCAGAATTACAGATGAAATGAGTACGGTAGAATAAATGCCCATTCTTTAAATTCAGAGAAATAGACATTTATCTTTTCATTAAAATTCAAACCAAGTAAAATTCTAAACAAACAAAAACTGAAGGAGCTCGAATGTTGGGATATTTTGGTCATTGTTGGCATTAAAACATTTAGCATTAAACAATAAAATTGAGCAGTTCCTTCCTTTGCTACCAGTTTGCTTTTGGTAATAAAACAAGTAAATTTAGGTCATTTTATCTCAGAAAAATAAAATCATCGGCAGAATTTTCTCTGAGGGTCTAATTCAGTTCTTGAAAAAAAGGGGAAGAGTCTAAATATGTATTTACATTCTGTCAAATATATCACTTTTGTAACTCTTCCTCAGTCCCTGTTATCTTTATCTAAATACCCACTTTCCTGGCCCTGACCGGGTAGCTTAGTTAGAATATCATCCTGATCTGCCAGGGTTGTGGGTTTGATCCCCACCCCAGTCAAGACACATACAAAAATCAACCAATTAATTCCATAAATAGGCAGAACAACAAACTGATTTCTCTGTCTTTTTCCTCCTCTTTCCTTTTCTGACTCTTTTTTTTTTTTTGAGAGAGAGAGGAAAAAGAAAAAAATCAATAAAAATTAAAAATACACTTTCTTTTTTTGACATCATACAAGACAAACAGCTTTAGGCTCAAAATACATGCTGCCTTTCTTCAAGCGTCTTGCTTTTCATTTCTTTGGGTTGCTTTTCAGTATATTTTTCATTTTCACACATTGCCATTTAAAAACTATTTTCAATTACAATGATAGGGTAAGTTTTTAAGTTTGTTTTCTTGCTTTATAACCAGGAAATTTACAGCAGTGGTGCTGCCAAGTAGCCAATCTTTCAGTAACGGCTCAAGCAGAGCGAGAGGAGTCGAGTCGCTAAGACACTCGTGCACATTTGACTATTTAGAGCACTTGGAGATTAGACCCTTTCGTGTTTCTATTCACCTTTATTATTTTCTTCCCCCAGTGATCTCATATCTCGGTATGCAAGATCACCTCTGCTTTCTGATTTCATGTTCTGGCAAAATCTGATAGAAGAGCACTCACTTTAAAATGTGCAATGTTAGGTATGGATATTTGTGCCTCTTGTCCTATCACATTTGGATTATAATTTATCATTAAATCTTCTTGTCCTCTATTTGCTTGACAACTATTTTCCTTAAAAGTAAAGCCCACTCCAAGTCATTTATGTCCAGCGACCCATCTCTATCTGCCATTCTAAATATACTTGCCATAGTTGCTTGAAGAGCGGCAAAAAGGGCTTCTGAACCATAGCTCTGTTTCTTATGTGGTAACCTAGCCTTACTCTCACCCTGATCTTGAAATGACCAGAAAATAGAGCAATCACTTGCTCTATTAAAGTCAAATTTTCTTTTGACTTTACCAAGGCACTCTTTATTGTGCCATTGTTGAAGAAAAACATACTGTTGCAAAATTAGACTTGCATTTCCCCCCCCCCCCGCCCACAATCATTCAGACAGGGCATCCCTATGTGCTCTTCTGTGAACTCATGACTATGCTCCCACTAAGACATCTCAACAGAGTGCTATTGGGCATCAACTATGATTTTCCAAAATATTCAGAAAGCCATTGTTTCATGCCAAAGTTGGTCATTAAAATCTTGAAAACAGAAATAAATGCAGTCAAGTGGACACTAGGCAAAGAGGAGCTTGTCTACCTTTTCTCTTATTAGAGGGAACCTCACCTCCCCGTCTTTCTTTCTCTCCTGTATTTTATAAAAAGCTGCCACACCACTAGAATTTCTCTCTCTCGGTTTAACTAGAGTTTGTGATACTCAATGTCATAGGTAGCATTTATTAAGTCAATACTATTTGTTAAGCAGACTATCAATAGGCTTGTTAAACAGAGTATTAATAGCTTTATACATATATGTTTATAGAATGACCTAAAATAGTTCTAAATATTAGGTACCATTTTAATTCTTTTACAGATGGATTGAATGAGATATACAACTTTACGCAATGTTAGGAAAATCTTAAGTTTATTTCACATGAGCCTGTTACTCTCCATGTCATTGTCAGGCTTCAGCCCTAATTTAGCTAATAACGAAAGCAAAATATTGATATCAAAAGACTATTAACTATTGGTACAGAGTCCAAAAATATTGTTAAAATAGCAAAAAATGACACCAAGTCAGTAGTATTACTGAATTCCATTATCATATTCCACCTCTTATTCTTTTATGATTCTTTGCTTTCTCATTCAGTGTCATATTATGCTCTTATATCCACACCTTAAATTTCTGTGTTTTTCAGAAATTTTTTTCATGGTCTTCTTCACCTTATATGACATTAGATCTTCCCCCAGTGTTCTCATCCATGGACATGTCTTTAGCCTCCAAATCTCCACCTCCAGTCAGGATCTCTCCCCACAACACCAAGCTTTTTATTCAAATGATTAAGAACTCTGTTGTCTCACAAGAAATTCAAAGTTACTGTGGCCCAACTATTCCCCCAAACCCTCCTTTACCATTCACTCATTATCCAAGATAAAAACTAGTGATCCTTAATTTCTTCTCCTTTTCCATATACATCCAAATATATTCCAAATCCTATCAATTCTAACTCTTCAAAATCTCTTAAGAGCCCCCACTACTTTTTTCTACATTATTCATACTTACATTTAGGCCATCTTTTTACCTGGGTTTCAACCTCTCAACCGGTCTCTCGTCTCCTGTACTCCACAACGCTTCACACTCAACCCCATCTCTACGCTGACGTCAAAACAACCTTTGTAAAATGCAAAATGGCTAATACATTCCTCTAATTGCTCTGCATTGCTTTTAAATTGAAGTCTAATTTTGTTTTTAATCAAGAAAGTTTGGATCCTTGTTTTCCTCTCCTGCCTTATCCTATCACTGCTTCTAATTTGGTTCTCCTATACTTCTTGCGGTTTTCCTAAGTACTTGAAACCTGCTCTCACCTTAAGGCTTTTGCACATGGAGACTCCTCTGAATTACGCTATAGTCATTCTACAACCTGGTTATCTGTATCAAGATTCAGGAATCAGCTTAGATATCACTCTGGAATCCTTCTCTGGCACTCAAGCTCCTTAACACTCTGTGCACAGACAATAATTAGCACTTATTTTTTTTCTCATCTATTTTTCATAGAACACTCTAAACTCTTCAAGGGCAGGGACTTGTACAACTAAAGAAATATGAAGGCTACCCAATAAAAGTTCAATAGTTTATAAAACTGCATTTTAATAAGAATCCTATTCTCTAATCAAGGTTTAAATTGTTTACCTTATGATTTATTAGTCTACAAATAAAATACTTCATGAATAATTAGATAACATTTTTTTAAATTTCAGATTGATGCTGAAATGAAGAATGTCCTGCAGTCTTGATGCATATGTATTATCTTAGGTAAGTAATATTTTTTAAAAAGATTTATTTATTTTTTAGAGAGAGGGGAAGGGAGGAAGAAAGGGAGAGAAAACATCAACACGCGGTTGCTTCTCACATGCCCCCAGCTGGGGACGTGGCCTGCAACACAGGCATGGGCCCTGACCAGGAATCGAACCAGCAACCCTTTGGTTTGCTGGTTAGCTCTCAATCCACTGAGCCACACCAGCCAGGGTGGTAAGTATTTTTAAAGGCAGCAAGAAAACCCAGTTTTGTGCAATGTATTTTTAAAATCATAGAATAGCAAGGACACTTTCCAATTATTTATTCTAACTATTAGCTATTCAAACTTATTTTGCAGATGAGGATATTAAGCACCAGGAAAAGTTAAGCAGCTTACACAAGTATACACAACCAACTTCTAGCACATTTAGGACTAAAATCTGAGTCCCCGGCCTGGAACTGTATCCATCATAACCTCACACCTCACATAAGATAATGCCAGCACGGAGATCATTTCAGGGATTTTGATGCATTTGATAGAAAAAAATATGAGTTTAAGACAGAGTTCATCAAGTCTTAAAGATAACACAGTAGTGTTTTTAGGAGAAAAGAGGCATTCTTCAAATTAAAGCAATACTGTTGAAATATTGTCACTTGCTTCTTTCAGATATTACGTTTTCACCCATTTTAAAATACCTGAAGATATTAAGAGCATAAAATACTTTGGACAAAATTCCATACCTTAAACTGAAGATGACCTCAACTTTGTACATTTCAACAACAACAAAAAAATCTTCTCCCTAGATTTAATTGTATTCATTTTAAAGATATTACTTCTGAGATTTAAAAATTTATAAAAATAATGGTTTTGGTTTCTTAGATCTTAATTGAGTTGAGGATTTTCATGATGTGAAATTTTCATTTTGCTGATTTACTGACAACTTCCCCCAAAATGATATAGATGCAAAAGCTATTGATAAGGGAAATTAAATCATTCCATCATACTCAGGAGTTCAACTCCCAACTACTCATGTTATCTGAAACAGTAAAAACAAACCAACCTAAAGAAAAACAAAAAACAAACAAAAAAAACCCCTAACACTCTGAGAGGAAGTACAGTGGGGATGGTCAATGAAACTTTCTTTTGGAATTAACCAATCCGGATTAGAATTCCCACTCCAACTATCTATCTTTGTGAACCTGAACAAGTTATTCCAATTCCCTATAGCTTAAGGTTTTGTTGTTCTTTTTGTAAAAAGAAAATTGTAGTATCTACCTCTCAATGTTGTTGTGATGACTGAGAACATGTGTATAAAATGCGTAGAAAATAGTGGTAGTAATACTAGCAAAGTTGTCCTCCCTGCCGCTGCTGCTTCTGTGATTTTTCTCTTACTGTAAAAGGTAAGCTATCCAATGGCAGGAAGTGGCCCATGCTATTTAGTATGAATCAGTTACTAAAACTATTTGGGAGAGGAAGAGGGTTATTGAAGCCCAGGCTTCTATTTGAAAAAGATGCACAATAGGTCCTTTTAGAAAAATAAGTTACATGAAATTTTCTGGACATAAAATCTATCCAGACCACTAGTCGCAAAGACAAGAAGCTAAAAAACACAATCCATGTAAGTGACCACTTAGTCCCTGCACTCTGCAACTGTAAGCCCTCCCTCAGCATCCTGCTCTCAGGAGAGAACTTTGGCTTGGGTGACAACTATGACCTCACACAGTTCCCAGAGGAACTTCCTTTAGTTCCTAAAACTATTAACCAACTCTGGCTGGCTAGGTATTTCTTTTCAATGACAGCCTACACCCCTTCAGAGATGTGCAAAGCTTATGAAAGCTGAAGCCTTTGTCTCAGGTGTTCCCATTCCTAGGTACACCTATAATTCATGTCTTCCAGTCAACAGTTTGATGCTATTTCATTCTTAACTAAAGTCTTATTATAGACCTGAGTTGTTATTGTCACAGTTATTGGTTCCCTTGGTCAATTTTTCTTCAAGCCCCAAAATTGGTTTGTGGCCACATTTGTATGCCCACTGGAGAAAGAATTACTGTCTCTTAATAAGCCCCACACAGCTGGTTATCTTTTTATTTCCTTCATCTTTAGAAACAATTAGTGTTTCCTGGGTTTCCTCTACAATTATGGTAGAGAAGTTGGCATGCACTGCAGAATCAGGTTGAAGGGAAAACACTTTAAATACCGGAATCACACGCAGCACAGTCAGGTACTTACACTGTGAGAGAAACATCACTCCCAGGCACAAACTCACTGAGAACCATGAGAGATGGAATTTCTTAACTCTGCTGTACTGTCTTAGAAAAGGGGAAAAATTAAGGGGAAGACACATTTGCCTCATTACAAAGTAGGTGATTTGACAACTCCCGTTGTTTTACTGAAACACAACTGCTAAACTATTGTCTCAATTCCCTGACTGGAAGCAGGAGTGGGGAGGCTCACTTGCCACTGTCGTTGCTTTTGGAATGAATATTCTCTCATAAAGCAGTAATGTTCACACATTATTGAAGGAGAAAAGTGTACATTGTACCTCAGCCTAAGCGATGGCTTTACATGCAGGCCTTGGGGGTTCCCTACATTGTTTTGCTCTGACCCCATTAGGCGGGCCGCAATGGGTCTATGAGTCACACTGGACAGGTTTATCTTTATCCACAACAGTAGCTTGGCTGTTAAGCAGTATTAGGATTGTTGCCCAATAGCTCTCTTTTTCTAACATTTATTTCCATTATTCTCATAGACCTAAAGCTGGAACCATCCTGGAAATGGCATCAGAGGCCCAACCCAGGCAAAACCATGCTCCTGGGGGAACTAGGTACTCCCCGATTTTTATCAGCAACAATATCTTTGTACAATGATAAGTACAATGATTTGCTATCAAAATAAATTGAAATATAATGCAAACCATAAATGCTTCTGAGAATGATGTTAGGATGCTGACCTGTTCCTGTGATTTTCAGGCACTACAGTAAGCAGCCTCAGCCCCACAAGCCCCTGCTTGCACTTAGATCCCTGCTCTAAAGGTTCCCAGCTTTATGCATCCACTTTACAACCCCCATCGCACTAAGCTCCATTCCTGCATTGCCTCTCAGGCCTAGGTACTATTAAGGAAAAGTTAGCCAGCCTTCCACCATAAACAGCCTAAGACAGCTCTAAAAAATGCCTGAGAATTTCTTGGTCCCAGCTGCAAACTATATGGCATTAATTAGGTAGTATCTGCTTTGACAAAAAAAAAAAAAAATTTTTTTGGTCTGAACAAGTTTATTTTTGCTAAAGACTCTTAAGAGCAATTTATTGAGTCAAAGTTATAAGAACATCTTGATTTCCACTTGATTTAACTCACTATATATATATAAAATATACAGTATGAATGATATTCTATGTGCTTTCTCTGCCTGGAGAAAATGAAGGTGTTCTAACATATTTTGCTTTAAAAGCAAGCTCATATTTTCAAAATAAATAACTTTCTGAAACAAATACAAGACAAAGAAAACCTATACTTATAGTTAATTGCTTCAAGGAATTCGAGTTCATCTAATGGTAGATGTAGAGATATCTGTAGAGATGAAACATCCTATAGTGAATATAACTGGAGTCACATTAAGCAAATCATACCTCATCACTCCTCAAGATTTCAAGTCCCAGTAGGGAGCATTTCATTAACTAAGCCAAGGTCAGGTGCCCAAGATTTTAGCTTCCAGGAGCTGAGAAATAAAATGCCTGCCCCCTGCAGCTTCTGCAGAAGGTATAGTTCTACCTCCCACAAAGATTTCAAAATGGGAAATTAACTTCAAATAGGGAAGTGCATGTGATGCCATGAAAGAACAAAAGCAACAAACTATATTTAGGCAACATTTTAAATATTTAAAAAATTATTTTTTACTTCCAAAATTAACTTGGAAGTTTCAACGCCAATTCTGAGACGTAAGTATCACTGACAAAATCTAAGAATGAGACTCCATAAAAGCAAATGAAAGTCAGTGTTAGTGAAGAAAAACACAGAGACTTAGCTTTCAATTCCAACATCTATGCAGGGTTAATGGAAATAATTGAAGAATGTGTTTCCTAATCAAATTGGTTTTGGAAACAAACATAGTATTGGTGTAGCCAAAAAGTCTGTTACTTTTCTTCCATTACATAAGAGATATTTTTCATTTTCACCAATAACTTTATTGATTTGGACATTTTGAGTATGTCGGCTATCTTCCACTATTGGCTTGGGTAGGATAGAGGCCAGCGGTGCTGCTAAACATCTTCAATCATAAGACAGCCCCACAGCAAAGAATTATGTGGCCAATATGTCAATATACCAAGAAACTTCACAAACCACTTTTGGCACGTTCTGTCAGTCGCAGCACCTTCTCCATACACCTCACAAATCTTTGTGCTTCAGTTGCATTTTTACCTTTCTTGAAATAATAAAGCATAATACACTAAAAATGTTGCTTTCTCTTCTTCCATCTTCAATATTAAAATGGCTGTACAAAAATTCACCAATTTTGATAAGTTTTTTTTTAAATGCACCCTGATGTGACAGTTGTCACAATACAATCTAACAAAATGGTTTCAAATGTAGTTAAAGACAACTAAGCATTGCTAGAACCATCGTCCAGAGTAAAACATAATGGACTTTTTCGCCAGCCCAATATATTTCCCTTGAAGAGTCACAATTTATTGTATACAATTTACTATTTCCTAAATTTAAACATGACCCCTTTCCTTTGGATATCACCCAGAATTATTGCTCTGAGGAATCACTTTCGGAAAATTCTGCTGTTCTTATTTGAGAAATTACATTTATAAATTGTTCAATATAACTACTAAAAACTAGTCCATCTTAGTCTAGTATTTTTATGCCTGAGCAGGTAGAACTGGGTGATTTTTTTTTATCACAAAGTATTCAATAAATATTACATAATTGGTTGAAGTAGTGTTTTCATGATCCCCCTGGATATATCTTACAGGGAACTCTGAACACCTTTTACCAGTTTTTTTATATTGAAAACCACTGACCCAAATATTCCATCATTATGGTACAGGAGTTTTAACTTTGGACTTTATATGCATCGTTACGCCTTCATTTTTTCCATTTCATAGGAAGCTGAGACCTTTTGAGAAGACTGTCCAAATCCAGACTTACTTCCTAAGTGCTTCCCAACATTAAAGAGATGTTTTTGAATTTCCATCCCCTCTCACCCATAGCTGATTGTACTGGGTACTTTCAGTTATATAAGTAGTCCTCAATTTTTTTATACTTTATATACCACCTTCTTTCAAAAACCTGGGTCCTCACTATGATTAAAACAAACAAAACTCTACTTCATTTCTAAGAATGACATTTACACTGTATCCATCAGAGTTCTCCAAGGGAATAAAATTAATAGGAGACAGAGAGGTGGAGAAATTTAAGTAAGCGGCTTACCGAGTTGCGGAGCTGGCAAGTCTGAAGTCAGTAAGGGAGGCCAACAGTGTGGAAACCTGCACAGGGCTCTTATGTTACAGTCTGGAAGTAGAATTCTTTTCAATCCCTCAGGTTCTGCTTTTAAGGCCCTCCTCTCTGATTGGACGAGGCCCACGCACGGCATCAAAAGTAATGGTTATTTAAAGGTAGGTGGTAATGGATGGCAATCACGTCTACCAAATATCTTTAAAGCAACATCTATACTGATTCTTAGCTGAGCCAACAGGCACCATAGCCTAGCCAAGCTGACACATAAAAAATTTAACCATCACACCAACTGTCTGTTATTTTTGTTGTCCTTTACCAGGTTTAAAGTCTTTCAAGTTACAGTACTAACTTCCTGTGTTTTTCTGGATGCCTAAGTCACCTCACAGGTGATTCTTAAACCATCACCTGGGAACTATTCCCTTAAGTGATCTACACAGGATTAGTGTATTAATTAATGCTTCCCCTAGGAATTCTTGAAAAGCAAAGCTCCTGTGTATGGAGATTTTAATTTAAAAACATAACAAAAGAAAAGCATTTCTATTTTGTCATTTAATTCAACAACAATATGCTCTAATAAGCAAGACTTTCATCAACTTAAGAGCTTACTCAGTTTGGAGATAAATAGATAAAAATAAACAAGAAGGCTTAGAAGGTTGTCTTTTTATGCCTCTGGTCTCCCCTCTGTGTATCTCTCCCCACCACATAAGTCTCACCCCTACCCAACTTCTACACCGCTGATCCTCAGCCCTAGCTGCACACTGGAATCATCTGGAAGCATTTTGAAGGGAACCCAAATGAAGCTGAGCAGTGCCCAGAACCCATCTCAGAGGTCCAGAGTCGATCACTCTTAATTGGAAACTGCTGTGCAACCAAGCCTGTGACTTTACTGCTTTATAAGCTTGGTACCCTCACCCAAATCAAATAACAAAAGCATCTGAGATCAACCAATTAAGCACCTATTGGCTGAGTGACTGATTATATCATCCAGGGGTAAATTTCGAACACAGCTTTATCTCAGTCTGCTATTGCATTATGAGAATTGTGTCAATTATAGAATGAAATTTTTGTCTCCTATTAAAGAAAACCTCATAGATAATAAGTCAAAAGATGACTTTCCCCAGAGGCTAATCCATCCTTCCCCTTTCTTCCAGGCCCTGAAATATTCTTTTCTTCATTAAGCCAAGAGAGTTCCTACCACATTGCTCCTTCTACCACACCCAGCACCACAAGGCTCCTACTTTCATTAACTTAAGCTTTTTAGCAAATTCTAGTTTGCAGTTAATGATAGCATCTACTTTCCAATTCATAGGTCAGGGGTTTGGGATTCCTGTATTGTGTCTACCCCAGTAAGAAATTTTCTAAAAATGAACTAGGTGTCTGAGTCCTCACTCTTCAATATCAGAATCATGGATCTTTGCATCAGCTGTGTGCTGCACCAGGCAATGCCTCAGGAAGGCGTGCTTGTTCCCAATACAAGTCTTTGCTTCCACCTTGTGGATATCAGGTCTAAATGCAGATGGCTGTGCAGAAATCTATCCTGAAACCACACCTTAATAAAATTGACAGTACGTAATCACCTCCTAGAACATGCTTACTTTTTACTCTATTTAGAACAACATGAAAAGCTTGAAGCGAAACCAGCAAGATACAGAATTTTCTATTTTTAGTCTCAGGGATTTTAACAACTGTGTCAATCTGGCAACTTTGTACACAAAGACCAAGGGATTCATCTAGATTTTTCATTTAGTTCCTAAGAATGTTAATAAATGTGAGAAAACTTTCAACCCATTTTTCCTCTAAAAAGATAACATTAGAGATGGAGTACCAATACCTTCTCAATATGAAGCTCCTGCTAAGATTAGGAAAGAAAAGTGTAAAAAAAAAAAAAAAGTAAAAAACACTATTACTTTTCAAAGGACGTTCCTATATTATCTCATCTAATCTTCATCACAGTCACCTGAAGCAGATAGCATAGGTTCTAATTCCCCTAATTTACAGGATGGGTTAGGTGAGATAACAGCAAAGACTGATCTAACAAAACAAACACACTTACCTACTGCTTAGCAGCTCGAAGCTAAAGCAGTTTAAAACAAATTTGCTCCTGAATCTGGGGATCCACTGGGCTCACGGTTTCCCATGTAGTTGCTGTCAAGCAGTGGCTGGGGGCCAAGACCAACTCGAAATTTTCCACTCACATAAGCTTGCCTGACATCAGAGGACTCAAACCACGGGGGTCTAATACCTGGGCCCCTTGCGCCTCTCTCTCCAGGTGGTCTAATCAGGTGGTCTCCACCCAGCAGCCTCAGTGCAGCCAGACTTCTTGTAGGGTGGCTGAAGGTTTTCAAACGGTTTTCCAAGACATACAGAAGTCCCCCCCCACCAAACCAACCACATTTTGCTTTCCATGATTTCAGCTACCTGTGGTCTGAAAATATAACATGGAAATTTTCAGAAATAAAAAA